CAAAAGGGTTTGTGGGCCAGGCGGGTGTCCCGTGTTTCGCAGTGGCGTGTCCCAGTGTCAGTGCGAGGGAGTGAGCCCAGCTCAGGGTGGGACCTGCAGGGAGTCACAGCTCCCATCGTTCCCGAGAACAGCTGCTCCTCAGGGTCAGACTTTTGTTTCATCTTGCCCAGACTTCTGGACTCCTGCCAGGTTGAATTTTCAGCTCTTCAAGGTTATTTAGCTTTATTTCTTCCGTGCTCTCCCCCAACCCGTCCCCATCCCACCACATTTTCTATTTCCCAGCAGGTGGTTTTGTTGTTTTTGTTTTTGGGCCACACCCGGTAGTGCGCAGGGCATATTCATGACTCTCTGATCAGGGATCACTCCTGGCAGTGCTTAGGAGACCATATGGGGGTGCTGGGGATCAAATCTGGGTCGACCACGTGCGTGTGTAAAAGGCAGATGCCCAACCTACCATGCTATCACTCTGGCCTGCAAGTTGGTATTTTGGTAGTTTTCCTTTCCTTTCCTTTCTGCCCTTCCCCTGGAGTCCCAGCAACAGATATTCTTCCTCCATGATTCTGGGCTCCCCCGAGCCCCACCACCCTGGGTCAGAGCTTTCCCTTGTCTGTTCCTTAAAGCAGCTTTATTGGGGTCTGCAACCAGCCCACAGGAGTGCCCATATTGTTCGGTTCAGGAAATTTGCATCTCCCCCAAAAGCAGAGAGCAGTTCCGGTCATGCAGTACCACCAAACCTGTGGCACCAGCACGCTTCTAACTATTACTTTGTTAGTATTTTAATGGTGAACTGTTCTGACCCAGAATAACCATTAGCTCTCTAATGGGACCCCCAGATGGGTTGCGCCCATGTTGCCCATCAGCTGTTCCGCGCCCCTCTCCTTCCTTTCTGTCCACGCCCATTGCATTTCACAGTTGTCCCCCTGACACTGCATGGTCGCCATTGGCCACTTTAGGTAGTGGCTGCAGTACAGGTTCCCCTTCCTCCTGGGCAGGACACTGGAACTCAGAGCACCGTCTCAGGAGCAGGGGCGAATGCGGGCATCTTCTTCTAGAATCATGTTGTAGATGCGATTCTGCAACATCGTTCTGCCTCGTGCTTCTGTTGTTTGGAATTTCACGTTTTAACTAGATTGAAATAAAGCTGTTGGCATTGGGGCTGGTGACTGTCACAGCTTGTGACTGACTGTGGTCTGTGGAACCAGGCCTTAGGATTAGTTGGCAATGACGTGCCGTGGACACAGACCCCCTCAAGTATTTCCATGTTTACTATGCATTTTTCACCAAAACATTTGATCTGACTAACAGAATCAGTAGAAGATCATGAAGTAACATATGGAGAAGTTTAAAGGTCCTGGATAGTTGGTAGATTAAGTGCCTTTCAGCTTTGTTTTTTCTTAATGACTGACTGCTTTTCATTGAAATAGTTCTGTGCTCTTGACTCATGGGCATAGTTATGAGGAAAATGAAATAGCTTTCAGTAATGTCAGTGTTTAGAATACTTATCAACCAACCCAAACGGATGGCCTGTTTTATGCCATTTCAAAACTTCAGTGATACGCACTTCTAGGCAGTTATGTCACACTGCTGGCTCCAAGGCCAAATCTCCAAACATTCCTTCTTTCCTGGTCTTTCGCTTGTCCTGAGTTGGTAGTTGGGTCCTTGATTCATGGTGACTAGGGACACCTCACCCCTAACGAGATTCCCACAGAGACCCTGGCCATAAGAGGGGCCCGTGTAGTCTTACATTTTCCACAACAGACTTTACACACACTGACTTCAATCAGTTCACTGAGATGAAGCACCCCTTCTGTGTAAATCAGTTTCTGTTCTCAAGGAACTGAGGCTGCACTGACCGGTGTTGGGACTGACCAGCCCTCGGTCCCGCAACTGTCTGGGGCCCCGCCACTCCCTGCACCTCTGGGAAATGAAGCTGAGACAGTGTGGATGAGGTTTGAAATGAATTACTGAGAGAATTAAGAAATTGTATTACTCATTCTCCTGTTTATCCTAGGCTTATCAGAATAAATCATTAGCTGCCTTATTTTGACCTTCTGCTAGTAAATAGTCATTCAGATGAACTTGGACCCTTGGTCCGTTGATGCTGGTTACTCATTAAGTCCTTATCTCTTAATAAAGTCTTAACTCAAGACTTCGCCTTGGCAGGAACTTGCTCACCCAGCCCTGATGTACATCTTGGGGTGGGGGTTCATATCAGACAGCTAAACTCTGCCTCACTTTATCACACCGATCAACTCCAGTTTCAACCAATGGTGTCACTTTCCTTTTGTGTCTCACAGGGCCAGGGTCAAACCCGGGGCCTTGCACATGCAAAACACGAGCTCTAGCCCCATCCCTGAGCCAAAGGTCTCTCCATGGCAGAGCATACAAGGGCCAACACTCCCTCCACACCCTAGGGTTATCAAGACAAGTCGGTCATTTGGGACTCCTGTGGGGGGAATAGTCCAGTTCAAACTAACCATGAATGTCGTGGGCTCAGTAGTGCTGCCAGGGTGGCCTGGCACAGGCATCGGGGCCCACAGGCCAAGCAGTCCCATCAATCTTGACGACTAATGTCCTGAGTTTACAGAAGTCTGTCAAGTGTCCGGCAAAGGTGCTTTGTGCCAGTCTCTGTTGGCCTCAGCCCTGGGGTGAATGGTGCTTTCGGCCTCCCCTTACAACGAGGATTCTGAGGTGCAGCTTGGGGGCATAGGGTCCGAATCCAAGCGCTCTATCTGGGAGTCATCACCCCCTCCCCTAGAAGCCTTGTCGGGTACTATGGGCCCCAGCATGTTTGCAAAGAGGAGACACTTGTTCCAGCTCCTCATCTTCCCAGAGTCTCCTGCCTGCTCATCATTCCTCCCTCTCTCCCCCCAGCATGGTAATCCCGGAGCTGGGGGCACAGTGCCTGGCCTGGCCCTCATCCTTGCTGTCCCCTGCATCATGCTTACTGCCGTCCCTCAGCCATGCCTCCCCTTTCTAGAGCTCCCTTGGCCAGACTGCCCCTCTGCTACCTGTTCCATATCACCCTGTGCTTGATGGCAGCTGCCCTCTCTGTCTCTGCTGACTGTCCCTCACTCATTTCTCTTCTCCTGTCCTCAGCTTGTTGGCATGTTTTCCGGGAGCTCCAACCCCCCCCCCCCAAGTCTCGGTAATGGGTGGCTGGGCCTGGGCCTTTGTAGCCACATCCTGTCTGATGCCACTGACAGCTGACAGGTTCAGGGGTGTGCAACAGGAGGCCTGAAATGAGGTGCGATGACTTCAGCCTCAGAGTAGCCAGAGCTAACCCCAGGGATGCACTCCCATGTGCGCTGAACTGAGCGTGGCCTCTCTGTGCTCCTCCCTGACTGTGCTGACCTTGGCGCCAGGCTTGCAGGAGACACGCTGTCCGTGGCCCTTCAGCTTGGGGTCCGTTTGGCTCTGCTGCGGGGAAGCCTCCTGCTCTTGCCAGAACCATCCAGGAAGCAGGCGCAGTTCCTGTTGCAGGTTCCTTCCCAGAGCTGGCAAGCTGAGAGCAGGCCATGGAGACGGGCTTCACAGCGGCCAGCGCAAACCTGATGGGCCTTGACAGCCTCCCCAGGTGCCAGGGTAGGCCAGGGTGTGTTGCGGGTCACCGCCCCATGGCAGTTAGGATGGCCACCAGCCCTCTGCAGGAACTGGAGGGAAATACAGCCCCTGTGATGGGCCGTGAACACTGGAATTCCTTCTCGGGGTCTGTGCCGCCCCACTAGCTGGAACTTCCCACGCTGCAAGGACTCTTGCCAAACTCTCAGAGCACTTGAAGGGAGCAGATGGAGACAGATGAAGTGATGAAATGGTGTAATTATGAAAAGGAGAAGGATGATCGATCATAGTCCCTGGGTTATTTGCTCGATTCATCATAAAACCTTTATTAGATGTGCCAGATAGAACCCACAGCACAGCCTCCTCCTCTCAGCCCCCCTCGCCGTCAGATCTCTCCACAATGGTCCTCTGCCGTCACCTGCAGCTGCAGCTTCACCTCCAGCACAGGGACCCGCCTGCTCCTGGCTGTCCTCTCTGAGGGTGGCATGTCCTGCTTGGGACGCAGGCTTCTGGGCTGACGCTCTGACATCTGTCACTCTTCCATCTGAGTGTGCAGTGGGGTGAAATTCCAGAAAGGTCCAGTCCCAGACCCTTTAAATAAGGTTTCCTTCTCTTTCAGAAGTGTCTAGCCTGCTTGTGCAAAGCTGCTCCTGCTTATTTCCCGGTACAGCGCTGGAGCAGAGGCCCAGCTCACTGTCAGCTGGGCAGTCCTCTCCCACCCGAGCAAGAACTGTAAAGCCACAACCCACTTCCAAGACACGGGGCTGGGGGTTGGGGGTGGAGAAACAGCCAGATTTTTTTTTCTTTTAAAGCGAGAATTTTTTGAGAGAATAAAATTCATGTAGACAGTGGTTTAGCAAAAGCTGAATTTTCAGATGGAACTGCTTAGATCTAATAAAAAATAGGTATTAGATAAGGCTGAAGGGAGGGGAGTCTTTGATTCATCGTTACGGGAAGGGCAGATTATGGTCAATTTTTCATGGTCTCTTTGCAGCTCCTGGCTTAGGTCCAGGCCAGAGCAGTCTGCAGATACCCTTTCTTCTAGACTGACCATTAGAGACGTCAGTGGCTGGTGCATCACATCAGAACAAACCCAAGGAACGTGTGGGTCCCCCGGCAACCAGCCCTGCGTCCTTCCTCAGAGGTGCCGAGCTCCTTTCTTGGAGGAACTTTCCATGCTTCTCTCACCCTCTCACCCCCGCCCCCAGGTAAAAACATGTCTTCCCTAGGCAAAGGAAATGAAGGTGGGTAAGGGGGTGTCGCGGGACAGACCTTCTCTGGCGCCTCCCACCGACGCCCCAGGCAGCGAGTGAGCCATGACATTCACCTTCTCACTGTGTCTCGACTTTCCAGGAGCGCGTCCTGCACACAGAGCAAGACGGAGCCGCAGCCGCCGCCACCGGCGCTTCACCTGTGCTGACTGTGATTCTCATCCATAGGTTTGAAGACATACCTGATAGCGGGTCACAGAGCGAAGGCGACTCATTGCAGCTGCTCAGAGGCCTGGCTTTCTGGTCCCGAGGCCACTGATGGCTCACAGGTGTCCTCAGGCCCTAGGGGACAGGGGACAGCGTCACCAGGGAGTGTCAGTGACTTGGCACAGACTGTCAAAACCTTTGATAACCTTAAGGTTAGTTTTTTTTTTTCCTACTTCTAAAAGTTGGTAATAATTCTGCAGTAGAGCATGTGACATGGTAAACAGGCTTCATGTCTGTGCCAGGTGACTTGGGATGCCCTTTGGTGTGGATTTTCACGCTTTAAAGTCACGTTAGCATGTTGGCACTTTTATATTCTCTACTTTTCTGACATACGAAGCTCTCGCATTTTCTTTCTACACCACACACGTGCTTCTCACTTGAGATACTGTTCATTATTTTTCAGCCCTGGAGTCCAGGATGTCCTTGGCAGTGTCTGAAATTGTGGGGTCGGTGAAGGGGAGAGAGGTTCTACCCACATCTTGCTCGGAGAGCAAGTTGGTACCTGATGCTGGAGACCACCTCTCGGTCCTCCCCAGTCGGGGAAACCTAGTGTCTCCCGACTGACCTCTCCCAGTCGAGGTGTGCATGGCAGAGTTCAGACTTGCCAAGAGCACAGGAGTGTTTGTGGGTTTGGGCTCGAGCTCGCCTGGCGCCATCCTGACCCACGGCAGTGGCCTGTGATGGTCTCGCCAGCTGACAGTCCCTCTGTACACTGGACCACACCCCCATGTCCCCCCCCCCCCCCCAGCTTATTTGCTTGGTTTCAGTATTTGCGGCTTTCTTTTTTTCCAAGTGAGAGACCACTCTCGAGCTGCCTCTTGCTGTTTTAGCTCTTAAAAGTTCTGAAACACTTGTTTCAGAAGTGTTGTCTGGGTCAGCACCGTGCCAGGTCAGACTGCAGCGTCGATCCGTATGTCGTATCCATCTGCATCTATGGTCCTATTTGAACGCTGGCTAAGCTGGTGGTTAAGCTTAACTGCCTCCATCCTTTCTGGCCACCTGCTGCGAGAGTAGAATCCAGCCCGCACCCCTGTCATCTGCTGCATCTATGGGACTGCCGTGCTGGTGTGACAGCCATCAGATCATTGCCAGTTAGATGCTGGGTGTCAGCTGGGCTCTGTGGACAGTCAGGACCAGATGGTACTTTGTAGTGGTACCATCCTGTGTCCAGGCTGGTGGCAGGGGATGTGGAGTAGCACCCCAGTACCCCCTAGACAGCCCCAGTAGGTGTCAAATAGCACCTGCTCCTCTCACTGTGACAGCGGGAATGTCTCCAGACAGTGTCCAGTGTTCCGGGGTGAAAAACCCGGAGCAGACTAGCAGGAAGAGTGTCACAGCTGACCTGCATCGGCTCATCTGTCCTTCCTGCTGGGCAGGGTCTTCCAGCCTCTTTGCCCAACCTGTTTGGTAGCAGTCAGGAAGGGGCACTTGGCTCAATGGCTTCAGCAGCATGGGAGGGAAGAGTTGAGGGGAAGCGGGTTTTCTCAGTTGCAGGGAAGTGATATCCTGTCTTCCAGAGGAACTGATTGAGCTAGAGAAGTAGAGACCAAAGCCAAAAGCAACTGATTTTTTTCTTGTTTTGTGTTTTGGGTCACATCTGGCACTACTCAGGCCTTACCTAGGCTCTGTGCTCAGTGGCCGTTCCTGGCTGTGCTGGGGGACCGCAGGCAGTGCTGGGGGTCAAACTTGGGTTAGCCAGGTGCTAGCAAGCACCTTCCCCTGTTCTGCCCCCCAGTCCCGGACCTGTTGTGTTTGCCATCTCAGATTTTGTTTCTGCCATCCCAGAGCCCGTTTTCTCACCCCTCCTGTCACGCTCGTGAGTTCCTGTGACAGTCACGAAGGAGGATTCCCTTCCCAGAAGTAGCATGTGCTGCTTGGCCCCCGGTGCTGGTGTTGCTCAGAGGATCACTTGGTGCTGGGAACCCAGATCACTGTGCTCGGCCCGGCCCCTAGGTCTGCTTTAAAGAAGACGCACTTTGCTCTCAGATGTACTAGGCCTGAAGACACTACTTTCTGCCACGGAAGAGAACATGTTTTGCTACTACTTGTGGGATGCCTCTGTGGCTTCTCCTCGGGTGCCTGGCCATGAGCTGAGGCTAGAGTCATCAGGATTCTGTCTGGCTCTCACCCCAGCGCTGGTGTTCCCGTGTCCAGGTGCTTTCCTCTATGCTGCTGTCAAGGTGGATGTGCCCTGGCCCGCCAGTGCAGAAGCCTGCAGGAAGCAAGGCCCGGGACCTCCCAGGGATCACTTTCTCTGGCACCTGGGGTGTCTGGCTGAAACTCAAGGGTACCAGGGCAGGGGCTCTCAGCACCCTCGGAGGCGAGTGAGTGGTCTGTGAGGCTGTTCTCAGGCCCAGTGCTGCTGTTCCTTACCTGACAGCTCTCAGACATATGTGACCTGTGTATGCTGGGGCCCCTCAAACCCTTTTGTGCACCAAGCTTGAAGGTTCCTGACCTTCCCTTCCCTGCATCCTCACCGTGCCCGGCTTTCTGGCTTGTGAGAGAGAGCAAGTGCTATCTGCCAAGCAGACAGAGCCGTGCTCTGGAGCGGAGTGGAACGGGCATTGGGAGTGTTTGCTTCCCTTAGCATGACCTGTCCTGGCTCCCCTGACTCTCAGCAGAGGTCTCCCTAGAAACACCAAAAACCATCTAAGCACTGTGATGACCTCGCGCTATTAGTAGGAGTGATGTGGGAAGATGAGCACTGACGCCGAGGTCGGAGGTCAAAGGCCCTCTCCCAGCTCCATTCTTGGCTTCCTGAGTCACTGAGAACTTCTTCTTAAGCAGGTTCTGGCTTTGGGTGGGAGTGATGGTACAGCAGAGAGGGCACTTGCCTTTCATACTGGTGACTGGGTTCAACCCCAGCCACCACCAAGCGTGATTCCTGAGGACAGAGCCAGGAGTAGCCCCTGAGCATCTCCAGGTGCCCACAGGACAACACACGAGGGCTCTTTCCTTCACTGGGGCCGGAGAAGTGGGCTTCGCTCTCAGCTCCCAGGCTCCAAGTGCAAAAGCACCCTGGGGCCTGGGGAGGGAAAGTTCTCATGTCATATGGGGAGCTGACATTGGCCCTGGGGCACTCAGCGGTCTCTGCCATCTCCATTTGATGTGACCTCACTACCTCTGATGGTTGACTTGGGGTCACATCTGAGGAGGCCTCGGCTCTGCAGTGGCCTGTGTACTACTCACCGCAAAAACTGTGAGGACGGACAGATGCATGAATGGACGGACAGACATGCGGAGACCATGTCTATTAATGAAAGCAGCTGGTCTAAAATGTCTCAGAGGAGCGAAGAAGTCCCAGAGGCACAGATGACCCTTGTTTCATTTTGATTGGGGGCCCCTCCTGCTGGTGCGCAGGGGTCCCTCTGTGCCCCGTGCTTGGGGACCGTGGAGTGCCAGGAAAGCTCCGCTCAGCTCTTTAAGCAGTTTCTCCGGGTCGCAGGTATTTCTTTGTGACGTCCGGCCCCTGAGCTGTGAGACATCCTCAGTGCCCCTCCTGGGGTGCTTGTGCTCACTCCAGAGAGGTCCCGCCTTCTTCTGAGGTGGTTGTGGCGAGGGGTCTCCTGTCCAGCAAAGTCACAGGACCCTTTCAGTGACCCCAAAGGAAAGACTGCTTTCACCTCCCTGCTGTTCGTGTGTAAAATCACTTTGGCTAGAGGAGTTGAGGAAAGCAGGCTTAGTTAGTCACAGTGGCAGGAAAGGCAGTGAACCCGTGTGCTTGCTAGCTTCTACGTTACATGTCCGTTAGAGGATGTGGTGTGAATGGGGGGTGTTGATGGGGCGCAGTTCTGTGACTGCTGAGTTATGCACTGGGTAGCAGGATTGTGTGAGTTGTGATTACATCTGGATAAAGCTGCTGAAAGTGAGCGGTCTGCTACCTCTGAAAGTGATTCTAATCTAAGCACTTATTTTGTTTGTTTTGTTTGCGGCCACACCTGGTAGTGCTCAGGGCTTACTCCTGGCTCTGCACTTAGGGATCACTTCTGGCAGGGGTTGGGGATCACATGTGGTGCCAGAAACTGAACCCAGGTCACCTGCGCAGGGCAAGCGCTCCACCCACCATGCTATCTTTCGGGCCCCATAGTAAGTGTTTTAAAAAGAGGCTTTTCAAGTTTCTTCTCTACTTTTAGCCATGAGAGTTACCTTCAATTCAGAGAAAACTTGTCACATATCAACTGACAGCTCTTCCTCCCAGAAGAATTTCAGCTAACAGATTCCGAAGAAACTGAGAGGGGAAAATTCCTGGTGGAACATCACAGGAATATTTGCTGCAGGCAGAGTCCATCCATGACTTCTAAAAATCAGTATTTTGGGGCTGGAGAGATAGCATAGCGGGAACGGCATTTGCCTTGCACGCGGCCAACCCGGGTTCAATTCCCAGCATCCCATATGGTCCCCGGAGCACTGCCAGGAGTAACTCCTGAGTGCAGAGCCAGGAGTAACCCCTGTGCATTGCCAGGTGTGACCCAAAAAGCAAAAAAAAAATAAATAAAAATAAAAATCAGTATTTCAAGGTCATTTGCGTGGGTTGCCAAGGTCCTGACATTTCCTCCATAGACTTATTCACTCTACAGACACCTAGCAGGTCCCACATTCACTGGGTGCTGAATGCAGTGAATACCACAGGTGACACAAGTATGGCTAAGACTGGCCACTGCATTACTGTCCTCCCACCCCACCAGCCCTAGTCTGGTGTGCTGAGAAGGACTCGTCACCTCTGTGGGAGTCTTACCCCAGGTCCCAGCCTCTGTTGACTTGAGAGAAAGCATCGGTCAGATGATGCTTTACAAAATGTCTAAGCAGGACACTGCAGAGGACACAGAATTCCGGGAAGGTCAGACTGGAGGAGGGCAGGGCCACTTGGAGCCCAGAGCCAGTGCGAGCACGAGCTACCCTTCCCTTCTTCCCAGGAAACAGCTGCGGGTAAGCACGCGCCGGTGGTCCTGCTGTGGGTCTGAGGGGGCTTCCCAAGTGGCAGGTGTGCTGTGAGCCTCCGCCCTGTCTGGTGGTGTGAAAGAGCGGTCTTGTTCCTCTTGCGGACACTGTCGGGCATATAACACTTCCCCAGTACTGTCCTGCTCTCCCTTTCTGAGGGGCACGTTTCCTGCCTCCTCAGCCTGTGGTTATGCCTGAGGCTCTGCTGGCTCGGAGCAGGCCCCCATCCCATCCTGTACATCGTGTAGCCTTTGTCTTCTCAGAATTTGAGTCTGTGTTTCTCAAGCATTTTATTAGCAAGAGTCATGTCTTTCGAAGCAGTCTCTGAGCCTCAGCTTCAAGAACTCCTTTACGTGTTCTTTGCCTAAATCCTGGCTGCCAACTGGCCAGCGGCTCCGTGTGTATTCCCGGGTTTTCAGGCCCTATTGCCAGGGCAGACGCCCCCCTTCTGCCATTTCAAAGATGACCAGGCAAAGCCCTGTCTCCTGGCCTTAGTGGGCTCCTGTGTGGGCTTCAGAGTCTGGGTAGTGCCCAGGGTTCTCGTGGACCATGTGAACCCAAGCTTCGAGTTTGGGAGTGAGGGGGCGCGGCCCGTGGCAGCCAGCTAAACCGTGGAGCTCAGCAAACAGAGCAGCAAAGCTGGGGCTCTCTGGCATTTCCGCCTCATTTCTCAGAAAAGAGGTTTCCCTGTGCCTCCCTGGCCAGATATGAAACAGGACAGCTGTTGGCTTAGAAGTTATTTTATGTTGGGAAGAGGAATAGCCTTGAGGAAAAGACATTTTTATAGCTCTCTGCTCGATATTCCAAGCAGAATTTGGGGCATGTTTAAAACAGGGCAGAGGCACCCAAGCTTTTTAGAGAAATGGTTGCCTCTTCCCCCAAAGCCATGTCCTAGCTGGAGGTAAGGGCTTGGGGAAGGGGGGAGAGGTGGGGGCCTGGAAACAGAATGTGGCACTCGGCCTACTCTCGGACACTCCCTGGGCCTCAGTGTCACAGGCAACAGCCAGCAGTGAAGGGAGGCAGGGAAATAGACCGGAGCCAGTATTTGATCCCTGGGACCACATGGCCCCCATGGCCCAGAGTGACCCCAAGCACCAAATTGGAAGTTGCCCTAGAGCACCCCTGGGAGTGACCTCAACACAAACACCTACTGTTGGGGGCTGGACAGATCGCTCCGTGGGCTGAACACCTGCTGGGTACACAGGGGACCCAGCTTTGGTCCCGGCACCGGATGGTCCCTGAGCTCCACCATCAGCTCCCAAGCATCAGTGGGTGTGGCCCAAAAACCAAAGGGTGTGGCCATCTCTGTCCAGGAACCTGTGCTGACCTCAGGGGAGCTTTTCTTGGATCAAAGTGCCATCAGTACTGCTGGGTAGGACCTGGAGGTGGGAGGGAGGAACTGTGTGGGCTGTCCAGGGCAGCAAGACCCAGGCAGCCCAGGGATTATTCCTGGGTCCTCCCTGTGCCTGGGGAGGCAGCCAGAAAGAGGCTTGGCTGTGTGGTGGTCTGGGGCCAGGACCCTTGCGGTTGACCAGCCTTGGTCCTCAGAGTGAGCCCTGGTGCCCATCCCATTGTTCTGAGACTTCACTGGGATTGGGGGCAGAGCACCGCAGCCCTTGACTGGGTAAGGACCCAACAACTCAGCCTGTACAGCAGCGCACAAGTGTTCCCTTTTTTTTGCGGGGGGGGGGGCTACACCTGGTGGTACTCAGAGCTTCCTCCTGGCTCTGCGCTCAGGAATTACTTCCGGCTTTGCGTGGGGCGCCATATGGGATGCCAGGGATTGAATTTAGGTGGGCCACGTGCAAGGCAAACACCCCACACAATTGTTTCTAGGTTGTAGCAGCTGATGTGACCACCGTGATCCTTAGCCAGCAGGCCTCCCAGTGTTGTTTTCCCAGAGTTCGGTGCTGCGGCCTCCCTCTAGAGCTAGGCAGGTGCCCGAGAAGGCCCGAAAAGGCTGTGTCACGCTTCACGGGTGTGGATCCACACCAGCAGCCCGCAAGGGCACACAGGTGTGCGTGTGTTGGGAGACCTGCTTGTGGGGGGCTTTCACTTGATTGAAATCAAGCTGAAGGGGCCAGGAAGATGGTGCAAAGGGTCATGTGCTTGGTACAGGGAACCCAGATTCAGTTCCAAGCACCACCAGGGGTGCCCCCAAACCAAAAGAGAATGAAGCTAGGAACTGAACCGTGTGGTGGGGGCAGGAGGGGAAGGAGAGAGAAACCCCATGATGAGGGTTGGGGTCTCACTGGCACAGAGGGGCCTCCTCCAGATGGCAAGGGAAGGGGCACACGATGTCAGCAAGACTTGTTCACATTTGTTTTAAAGCTTTTCCCAAGGCGCTAAAGAAAGAGTAAGCAGTGGGCACTATTGCAACCTCAGGGGCTTCTGTCTGGGTCCGCTCTCTCCTGCTCGTGTCAGACGCCTCCGGCCCACCCCAATGTTTGCCCCAGGTCTGGGTTCTGTGAGCTTTATACACCGTGCCTTTGCTTCTGTGGTTGCTTCTTTTGTGGGGGGCTCAGCAGCACCTCACCTCCGTGTCAGAACCTGTCACCATGGCAGGATTCAGTCTGTGGAGCCTGCTTGTCCGAGGGACGTAGCTTGGTGATGCCTGTGGCCACTGTGTGGCTGGCCCTCTCCTGCAGCGTCCCCGGTGGACAGTGTGTGCCCTCTGGTGTCCACTGGTGTCATAGTCACTTTCGCGTGTTTGTGATTCCAAATTCCTAAGATGTTCTCTGTGTGGGAGACTGGGCTGCTCCAGGGAATCTCTGAGGGGAACCGGGTGTGGGACAAGGCCATCGGGCATATGTGTGGGGAAGGCGCTTGGAAATGACTGGGGCAGTGTGTGTGTGTGTGTGTGTGTGTGTGTGTGTGTGTGTGTGTGTGTGTCGGGGGGTGGAGGGGCAGTGGCACCTAACAGGCAGCAACCCAACAGCTATCAGGAGCAGAGGATGTGAAAATGCAGCCCACAGGACCAAGTGTGACAAAGGCAGGAGTGATTTCCTCACGGGCCCCCCAAGACAGACAGATAGACACCCTTTCCCTCCTGGGACAGGCAGACGTGCTTTTCATGCAGGACAGACAGCTGCAGACACTTTTCCCCCACAGTCCTGGGACATGAGCGGGCCTCTTCTCGGTTTCATACTCCAGAAGTTTGTTCCCAAGGTGCAGCCGCTCTGCCCAGACTTCCACGCACGGCCTTGTGTGTCCTCATGACAAAGGCCTCATTTGAGATGCGGAAACGCCCTCAGAGAGATGCCCGTCCCTGGGTGCGCAGCCTTGGGTCAGCGCCGTGCCGGGTGGAATGGCCGACATGAGGTCAGAGAGGGCAACAGGTGTGTGCTGGGCGTGATCGGGTCATCCAGGACTGTCCCCTACTGGTCACCGGGACTATTTTGCCCTCTGAGCAAAACTAAACCACTGACCCAGGTCTTGAAGTTCATTCAATGCAGCCGGGCCCCAGATGCGCTTCAGGCTGTTGTTTAGGGTCTAGTTTATTTCCTTTTTCCTTGCCTTGTAGGGGTGGGAGGGGCCTCGGTGCCCAGTACCAGGCTCGTACCCTGAGCTGTGAGCCAGCCCCAAGCCACCGCTTCCACCAGCCTCACTGTGCTGCTGGCGGATGGCTCCCCACCAGTGTTCGTGCTCGAAGAGCCACGCGCAGGTGGCCCAGCACTGCAGTTGATGTAGTCAGGGAGTGGCGGCTGTTGGGCCAGTTTCCATCCTCTGAAGGAATGTAAGGGTGCTGGTGCTGGTAATCTCCGGTGTTCCAATTCTGTCGCTCTCGGAAGCAGTCTCCAGAGGGCCACTCTCACTTGCAGGGACCTGGGCCATCCCTAATGGGCTCTTAGTGGCCTTTAGGTTTTCTGAAACAGTGTCCAGGGCCTGTCATTTACCCTGGTGTTGGCAAGGCTCAGCACTGCTGGAGCAGGGTGTCCTGCCAACTCTGTTCCCACCCCAGGGACAGGTCCTGCCCTCCTGGACCACACATGTGTCACAGATACTGGTGCCCTGGGCTGCATACTGGCTCCTTCCACCCAGCAGCATAACTGCACGAGAATGTTTCTGCCGGGGCTAAGTGGGCAAAGAAAGGGAGGCCTGGCCCCTCCCTGTCTGGCCTCTGTCCTGGCCAGCTCATCTCTGCAGGCTGAAGAACCCCTAGGTCTGCCCATGGGCCCCTTCCTCCTAGCAGAGCGGATATGTGGAGCCTTGGAATCTAGCTGTGGTCTGGGCCTGGCTTGTTAGCAACTTATTAAGATACAATTTAAAAAACTGGGGGGAAAAATGAATCTTTCTCTCTCTCTTAAATTCACCTAAGAGCACAGTTGGGTGGTTTTTAATATATTTTCAAAGTTTAGTGACTGCCATCATGGTCAGTTTTTATCACCCCCAAGGAAACCCCTGACCCATTAGCATCACCACCACCTCCCCCGACACACACATACTGGCCCCCCTCCCCTGTGAGTCTGTCCCTTGAACATTTCATGAGTTGGGATCTTGGCACGAGCTCGTCTGCTCTGTGTCCAGGGCACCACGGCCACCCTCGAGCCAGCAGGGCACAGGGAGCCACATTGGCCTGTCTCAGGGGTGTGTTCCCATGTTCCGGGTTTTTCTTGCAGACCTGCCCTTCGTGTGGAATCACGTTTGCACCCCCGTTGGACACTGGCGCAGAGGGAGGAGCGATGCAGAACGGCTGTCAGGAGGAGCCCAGGAATGGCACTAAGGTCAGGCACATGTGCTTGGGCGCTGTGCTCCACCCAGAGGACACCGTCGGTGTCTCTGTTCCACACTTCCCAGGCCCTCGGGGGTGGGTGGATAGCACCTACCAATAGGGTGACCACGTGCTCACCTGGTCAGGCCTCCCAGCCAGAGGGGAGCTGTGGGCCTGAAAGCCATGGGCACAGGGTTAGGGGGACGGGAGAGTGGCACCATGCAGACCAGCGCCACGGGGGAGTGGGGGGTGCCAGAGCCCCAAGCCTGGGCTCTCCCAGAACATTCCAGATGTCTGACCCAGTTTCCATTCCTGGCACCCCAAATGGTCCCCATGAACACCTCCAGGACTGATCCCTGAGCTCAGAGCCAGGGCATTGAGCCTTGAGCATCATCAGGTGTGTTCTGGAAAAAAGAGCCAAGAGAGAAATAAGAAAGAAAGTTTCTTACTGCTCTCGGAGGCAGCCTCGGGCATCTCCGCTCTCTGGCCACCTGCGCCTCCATGGCCTGGGCTGTCCAGCTGACCCTTTGCTCTGCCCACGCCCTTCCTGCCGCTGTGCGATACGCTGTTGCATAGGGCAGTGTCCGGGCCAGAGTGGGGACCTGACGGGAGGCGACGGGGCGGCTCTGCCACCCCCACTGCAGCCCCCGCGCTGTCCCTTGTCTGGAGGCAGGCTTCCGGAGGAGCCAACTCCAAGTCGCAGAATGGACTGCTGAGCCCGCCCCCGGAGGAGCGACTCACCACCAGCCAGACATCCCTGTGTGAGATCCTCCAGGAGAAAGGGCGCTGGGCGGGCGTGAGCCTGGACCAGTCGGCACTGCTGCCGCTGAGGTTCAAGAACATCCGCGAGAAGACGGATGCCCACTTCGTGGACGTCATCAAGGAAGACAGGTGCGGGCGATGCATGCCTCCCGCGCTCTTGCGTTCAGGTCATTCTGTCTTAGCCTTTAATGTTTTTGTTTTGGGATCACAGCCAGCAGTGCTCAGGACTTAGTCCTGGCTCTGTTCCTAGGGATCACTCCCAGCAGTGCTCAGGCCACCGTATGTGCTTCCAGGGATTAAACCTGGGGCAGTCGCTTGCAAGGCCTTACTTACTGTTGGTCCCATTTGTCTTTCCGTTTCATTTTAATATATTTGTTGGCTCCTCTGCCCTGCTTCTCACACTGCTTCTGTCTCCATAGTGCTCTGGGAGTCACAGGTGTCCTGGAACTGGGATGGTCTCAGGGTCACTCACGTCATTTCCCTCTGAGTACAGACCCCTCCTCTGTGTACCCTCACCTCTCCATTCTGACCTCTGCCTCGGGGTAATCCGGCTTGTTCCCCTTTGGTCACTTTGCTGTAGAGAATGGATGGAGTTTTCCTTTCCCTTCCTGTCTGGTCATTTGGGGTTGGGTTTTGCTCTCTGAGAATGATGCCTCGAATCTCAGGGTCTGGGTTTCCTCTGAAGACCATCAAAGTGCTTGTCTCTTGAGTGGCCATCTCTGGACTCAAACTCAGCTGCCTCTCTGAGGTGTGCAGCTGCTAACCCTCTACGTGAATCAGGCTGGCGGGGGTGGGGGGCCTTTTGCATGCATCTTCCAAGACGTGAAGCAGAATTGAAGCACCCCACCCTGGGTCTCTCCTTCTGGGGCGCCCAACCCCATTTTCCATGTGTGTCCTCCCCAGACTCTACTTCCCAGTTCTCTAGGTCCATTAGCTTGGAACTTTTTCTCTCCCAGACCTTTGCCGGCCGCTCTGCCTGCATGCAGAGAAGGAGGTCAACAATGGACGGGGTCCTGCTGCCCTGCTCCCACCTCCCTTGCACACTTCTGCGGCGAAGGGAGATGGAGGCCATAACCACCTCCACCCCACCCTGGAGTCCCCAAGCCTAGGAGGTGCTGCCCGCACCCTCTCCACAGCCTTCGCTTCACTTGCTCCCCCTGATGGAGCCCGGGCCTTACTCCCGAGAGCTTCTCTCTGCCTCTCCCTTCTGTTCCTCTAAGTTCACAGCGCTTTGCTGCGCCCAGAGGGGATCATTCCTTCCTGTACCCCCGCAATCCGCAGAGAAAGAAGCCATTAAGATCACTGTCCATGAGACTGGAGCCATAGCACAGCGGTTAGGGCATTTACATTCCACACGGCCAACCAGGATTCGATTCCCAGCATCCCATATGGTCCCCCAAGCACCGCCAAGAGTAATTCCTGAGTGCAGGGCCAGGAGTAACCCTGAGCATTGCTGGGTGTGACCCAAAAAGAAAAAAAAATCACTGTCCTGGAGCAAGTCGTCCGCACCTAAATCTCAAGGGCATAGCTTGGTGCTAACGACCCTTTAACTCCAGGCACCAGTCTCCGCACGGTCTCCATCTCCTGAAGAGCCCCCTCGTCCGTGTACATCCCCACACACAGGGCCCTGCTGCTCCTTCGAGGACAACTTGGCCCCAGAAAAGTTGCCAGGAGACGTCTCTGAGGGAGTCCTGGTGGGGGCTCTGTGAGGGGCCCGGAGGGTGGCTGTTCAGGTGCCCTCGGCCTTGCCCCAGAGAAGTGTCCTGAGGTGCTCCGACAGCGTGTTGCAGACTCTGGGCCCAGATCGTGAGCGGCGCTGCCCAGGCCGGCCGAGAGCCCACGAAGTAGACATGGAGATTGTGTCGGTGTTGACCTGCTGATCACTGTCTCTTCCAGCTTGATGAAAGATTACTTTTTCAAGCCGCCCATCAGTCAGTTCAGCCTGAGTTTCCTGGACCAGGAGCTGGAGCGTGCCTACAGGACCAGCTACCAGCAGGAGGTACGTGCGAGGCTCGGGCCACTCTGCCCTCAGCCTCTGGGCGGGAAAGCGCTGCGACGTCCTCCCACGGCTCCCAAGGTGCAGGCATCGAGGCACCCTCCCACAGGAGAACACAAGCCCCACTCTGCCCCTTTGTCCAGCGGCCAGGCTGGCTCCTCTGGGCCCCTCTCTGCTCCACTGCCCCCACCTGGTGCCCCACCTGAAGCCAGGGTGAGGGGTGCTCATGTTTCTCCCCCGCCCCCCTAAAGAGGGACGGGAGTTGGGAGACCTCCACCTCTGTCTGCGTCCCTCTGTGCCCCTTGGCCTCTGCGCCAAGCGCCCCCTCCAGGCTGCCTTCCTTCCCCATGGCGGTGTCAGGGTCCCCTGGTGTGCCCCACCTTTATGTGATAGCAGCCTCAAGGCCCTCCCAGGGCCCATCTTTCTTGTCTCCCCCTCCCCTCCCTGGCATCCAGCATGTATGCCCTGAGATGTGCGTGTGGTCAGGGGACTTGTGGGGTTGAGCCTGGAGCCAAGGGCCTGGGCCCAAGTCTGAGCTCCCTGAAAGTGAGGTCAGTCGTCCAGCCCGGAGCCTGGGGACTGCCCCTGAGCCCCGCCCACTGTCCAGAGAGCCCCGGAGGGAACCAGGCAGAGCTTGCGGGTAGGCTTAAGGCCTCATCTTGGCTGCACGGATATGGTGGGTGGGTGGGCTGTGAGGGAAACACCGCCTGTCACCTCCCAGAAGCCTTTAAGTTCATCGACCCACAAATGCCCTCAGGAGTGACAATGATAGGGACGTGACAGCTTGTGTCATTTGGGCCCTCATCTCTAAGAGGGAGGTCACCCTGAGGCCCAGGCTCCAATATGGAAAGGAAAAGAGGCATCAAGTGATGCTGGGCGCAGTGTCAGTGCTGACACTTTTGGTTGGTTCCCAGTTCTGGACACTCCCCTGTCATTCCTGCTGCTGTGTGGCCCCCCAGATGGGAGCGTCCTAGCATCAGGTGGTCTTAGCGCTGCAGGATGAGCCTCCCAGCCCCACCACCCTCTGCAGCAAATAGCGCTCTCTGCCCCTCAGGAGACTCCAAAGAATCCTGAGCTTAGGCTTTTGGGAACTTGGAGAACCCCGCGACCCAGGGTTCTTTGCTTCTGAGTAGTTTCCCTACCCACGTTGGCGTAAGCCTGTCCCCACGGGCTCATACTCGACCAACACCACATGCAAGCAGCTGCCCTCACACTGCATGCTCTGGCCTCGCGGAGCAGCACAGGCTCAGGCTGACCCCGTCCAGTCCCCAGACACTCACGTGCCCTGCTGCATCCTGCTGGTGCTGGGATCTGGGCACCAGGCGCATCTGAGGGGAACAGTGCCTGAGTATCCTGTCAGGACACACCCAACACACCCAGTTCCTCTCGAGCCCCAGGAACCTGTCGCTGTCCTCCCACTCGCTGCCCTGCTTTCATCCTGCACATGCCCGAAAGTTGGGCCCGGGCACTCGGGGCATCTGCGGTGTTTGACCAGTGCGGGCCATGACCTTTCTTTCAGGCTCAGACAATGTCCCAGTTCATGCCTGTGCTGTGTGATCTTGGGCATTGTCTTCACTTCTCTGTGCCTGGCACTTGTCCCTATACTGGCCTTGAGCAGAGTGGGCGAGGTCTCCGCGCTGTGTATCATGGTGTCAGCCGTGCCCCCGGGACCCCCAGTCCTGCTCTTCACGCCCCCACCCGTCCCTACCAGGTGATCAGAAATGCTCCCGTGAGGACCTTTGCCAGCGCCACCTTCAGCTCCCTGCTGGACGTGCTCCTGTCCACGGTGGTGTTCCTGATTCTCTCTGTCACCTGCTTCCTGAAGCACGGGGCCGCCGCCTCGCCCCCCCCACCTGCCGCCCTGGCCGTGTTCGGGGCCGCCCTGCTGCTGGAGCTGCTGTCTCTCGTGGTCTCTGTCAGGTAGGGACCCATGGGGCCTCTGGCTCCCCCTGCTGGCGCGGCCCCACTGTCTGCATGCTCTGCACAGCCCAGCCTCATTACCACTGCTCCCTGTTTCCTCGTGGGGTCGAGCATTCTGCGTGGAGCATGTCTGTGGCTTTTCATGGAGTGTTTTGAGAGCACGTTCCCTTCGGTATTGGGAAGCTGAAGCTAATCAGGACCCTACAAGGTTAACCTGGGCCAGGCCAGGCTCCGTGGTGCCCAGGGCATCCGCTGGTTCTTCCCAGGTGCCCAGAACCACCCTCTCTCCCCCCCTCCCCCGCTGTGGGTGCCCTCACTCCAGCTTTGCCAAGGCACTCTCTCCTTTGGCTGCCCCTCTCATCGCACCAGCAGTGTCCATGCCACCTGCCCAGTGCCAACTTCCTGGGTGGAGGAGACACAGTGTCCTAGGGGCATTCCCCTGACACCTGGAAGGCTGGCCGCCTGCTCCACGAGGCTGCACCCAGGGGTACTGGTGTGGGCGCTGCGTGGGTGTCAGAGTCCTGAGCCCGGGGACCTGTGCTCTCCTAGGAACATTCCTCGGAGACGCTCTGCAGAGAGTAATGCGCACACTTTGGTTGGATTTGCTTGTCCGCACCTGGCTGTGCTCAGGGGCTCCCCCGGCTCAATGCCTCAGGCTCGCCCTGTCAGCCCTTGGGGGACCAGGTTCTGCTAGTATTGAACCCAGGCCTCCCGTGTGCAAAGCTCACCCTCTTCCCACTGAGCCCGCTGGCCCCTAAGGATGCACTATGTGGACGAGACCCTCTGGGCTGAGGTCCTCGTTGGCAGGTCTTGTGTGGGTGTCTGGGCAGGTGGCAGAGGGATGCAGGGCAGAGCCACTGCTGTACCTGGCAGAGTGTCTCCCTCCCACCTCATGCGAGCAGCACTCTGCAACCACCTGACAACCCACAAGGGCTCACAAATATGCTGTCGGGTCCTCCCACGGCTGTGTCCTGTTAGAGCCCCAGAGCCCGCTCATGCCTTTTCATGAGAGAAGCTCCGTGGTGCCCGTAGAGTAAGCGCTGGGGAGCTCGCGGGCTCCCAGCCTGCCCGCCGTGTGTGTAGCTCCGCAGACACCGGCCCCTGTCCCCACAGGATGGTGTTCTTCCCTGAGAGTGTCATGACCTGCACCAAGCGCCTGCTGGAGTGGATCGCAGGCTGGCTCCCTCGCCACTGCATCGGGGCCATCCTGGTGTCACTCCCTGCCCTGGCTGTCTACTCACATGTCACCTCAGAGTTTGAGACAAACATACAGGTAAGTACAGGCTCCAGGAACTGGTGGCAGCTCTGAGGACGGGGTGGCAGTTGGGACAGAGGTCCTGAGAGGGGCTGCCCTGGCTCTCCCACTGGTGATGGCCCTGTGCGGGAATGCAGGACGCGTGGCCCCGGGCTCCCGGAGACACCCCAGGGCACACATGTTCTCTCCAGCCGCTAGTTTGTCGCTGTTTCCAGTTTCCAAACGAGACAGGAGAAGGTGCTGGGCCAGCCTGACAGTTGGGCCGTCAGCCTCTGGGCGGGAAGGCCTTGTGAGTGCAGTTCTGCCCAGCACAGCTCATCCATGCTTCTGTGGGCAGGCTGGCCCTCAGACATTCGCTGCCCAGTCACACTTGGGCTGACGCACAGCAGAAGGAAAGGCTTTGGCAGGTGACGACAGCATAGCATCAGGGTCGCACAGGGAACTTTCCTTCCATAGTCTCCTAAGTGACTGCCCAGCTGAGGAATTTCAGTACCAGTGGGACATTGTCACCTAAAAATTGATGATCTGTCCTTGAGCCTACTAGCTGGCCAAAAACAAATGCTCACCACATCCTGATAAGCACTGTGACAGCCACCTCTCAGGGGCCCACAGGTGGGCAGGGGGAGGGACATGACTGATGGTGCCCACCCTCTCCGCAGCTCACCGTGTTCACGGGCTCGGCCGTCCTGATCGCCGTAGTGCATTACTGCAACTTCTGCCAGCTCAGCTCCTGGATGAGGTCGGCCCTGGCCACTGCAGTTGGGGCTGTGCCCCTGCTTGCACTCTGCCTTTCCCTGTGCCCGGACAGGTACGCCCGTGGTCTCTTCCCACCCCTCCCCAATGTTTCCCACCCCAGCATGAAGTCACTCCTGACACCTTGCAGCTTCACCACTCAGAAAATGCCTGAAGAACAAGCACGATACCGCAGCGAAGGGAGTATGGGGGTGTAGACCCACAGCCCTGAGAGAAAGTGTAGGCGGAGGTGACCTGCGGCACTTGGGTGGCTGAGGGAGGAGACTGAGGGAGGAGGCACGCCCCGCGGGGACCAGCCCTTCTCTGGGAATCCATGCAGGAACGGTTCTCTGGTTTAGGTGGGGAAGCACCAGCAGAGTGGTGAGGATCCGCTGGAAACCCTCCATACTCAGGAATGTGGACGGTCCCGGTCCCATGAAGGCCCTTTGCACTCCTGTCTCTGATCGGTGGCCAGTAAGAGATGCCAGTGTGGGGAAAAACCTCGGGGACGGGCCGGGGTGTTGAGGCCCAAGAACAGGGAGGCTGGAGGTCGGGCCGGAGCTGTGCTGAGATGCCTGGGTCTTATTCACGGGCTCCAGCCTTGCTTGTGCCCCATAGATCAAATAATGTTTGGTTCCTAGTTTGTTTAAAACGGGCTCGAAGGACTGGAGGGCCGTTGGGACACAGCAGCCTCTCCTGGGAGCTGGGGTTCCAAATTAGGTGTGCTATGCTCTTCCCCTGGTGCTCCTTGCTCTCCTGAGAACTGCTGGGAGGGTCTCCCAAGCACCACTGGGTGTGTCCTCCACCAAGAAAGTGCACACTAGCTGCCGACTTTATGGCTTTCCACTGTAATATGTTATCGGAGAAATATTGGTGACAGGTGCACATTGCAGGTTAACTCCTTAGAGCCACCGGCTTCCATTTCTGTTATAAATTTCTAAAAATGGGCTTTTGGGGGTATGTGACTGCTGATAGAAAACTTCTCCTATGAGCTCACACTGAAAAACCACTTCTTTCTAATGAGAGTGGATTTAGGGTAGCAGGGTATTTTAAAATTTCTGGGGCATTTTCTTCATTTTGTTTTATGAGATGTCTAACATTGCTGTCTCCCTGAATTACCCGCACTCCAGAAGTACCCCCAGCATTTTCAAAATGCCCCTCAGGAACGATACCACTGTTACTGAAAACCATTACTTTAGTAAATTCAGAAGTGTGGTTTCTCAGAGCATCAGGAACGTCTGGGGAAATCATGCCAGGGCGCCTTTGGGTGTTACTGACAGAGCGGTCGGTAATGGAGGAGTAAGTGTCCCTCCTCAGTCTATTTACTGAGAGAATGACAGCATGAAAGGTACCTCCATTCTCTGCACGTGAAGATCAGAAGGGAGAGTTAAGGTATAAATCGTCACTCAGCCCTAGAAAGGAAACTGATGAGTAGCTTTTCACTCTCAGCCAGGCACTTTCACTTTCCTGCAGTCTGGGTGTGGTTGTTAAAAAGCTTCCCCGGCGCCTGAGTTCTGCAGGCTGCCCTTATATCTTGTCAAGTGCTGCTGAGACCTCAGTGCTGCCTCAGGACACGGCTCCTGTGGGCCTCCACCCAGCACTTTGGCATGTTAGTTTTGGGGTTTTATAGTGGTTTCCCCAGGACCAGGTGATACTGGAATGACCCGGGCCTTCGGCAGGCGTTAGGCGTGCCCCGGTGTCTTGCATGGGAGTTTGGTTGCTCTGAGGGCCGTTGGGACACAGCAGCCTCTCCTGGGAGCTGTGACTGGCCAGGGCCTCCCGCCGTCCCCTGGCATGGCCCTGGTCTCTCAGCAGCTCTGCTTGGACTGCACCAGGGTCTCTTGCCTTTGGAAAATCCCAACTATAACAACCTTATAAGGAGACATCTTCTGTTTGATTTCGTTCCTTAGTTTTATCATTGTCTTTACTGTTTTGCTGTTTTCAGTTACACACCACATAAAATTACAATTACATAATTACCATCCTTAACTCCCTACCTCGATCTCCATATGAAAGAAATTTGTTTTTTTTATAGTTCACAAGCTCTTTTCAGATTTTGTGAACTATGACATCTTCCATGCTCTTTAAATAATATTGAGTAATCTTTAAATAATATTAAAACAGTAATGTTTTCTGTATTTTGTTTCCAGTTCTATAGTCATTTCGCATCTTGATGCCGTTCAGAATTTCAGGTAAGCTTTTGGTATTGTTTCGGTGTGTTTTGGGGCCACACCCAGCAGAGCACGGGAGACCATCAACAGTGGGGCTGCGTCAGGGCAGCCCTGACCTGCCGTCCTGCCATGCCAGCTCAGGCAGCTTCACATCAGGCCTCTTCGGAATGAACGGGAGGGTCTGTTTCAGGGCTGCTGAGTCCAAGACACGACTCCGAATAATCCTGGGTGGAAAGAACAGCGTCAGTTCTCCTCCTGAGAGGAGCCGGGAAATACTTAAGGATCAGCCAGAGAGGCAGCAGCTTACTGGGAAAATGAAATGCTTGCTTGGGTCTACAATGGAGCTGATTTAATTTTATGTAAGACTTTAATGTCACAAAGGAAACCTCACAAATCAAAGAGTTGCTCACAGTGTTCAGACGTTACTCCTAGCTCAGTGCTTGAGGGGGGTCACTCCTAGCAGTTCTCAGAGGAACATGCAGTACCAGGGAGTGACCCTTGACCCCAGCGTGCGAAGCATGCACTCTGCATGTTGATTTATCCCTCTATCCCGATAGCACAGGGCTGGAGCGATAGCACAGCGGTAGGGCATTCGCCTTCCAAGCGGCCAACATGGCCGACCCGAGTTCGATTCCTCCGCCCCTCTTGGAGAGCCCGGCAAGCTACCGAGAGTATTCGATATGCCAAACACAGTAACAACAAAGTCTCCAATGGAGACGTTACTGGGCCCGCTCGAGCAAATCGATGAACAATGGGAGGGCCTTTACCTTACCTTTTATCCCGTCTCTAAAATATTTTAAAAGATCTAAAGTTATATGCTTGACTCTTGCTTTACTATGAACATAAGTTGAAGTCTTAAAATGTAAAAACTCAATGGCATAAACTATATAAACATTTAGAAAAAATAAAACCAGACTGCTCTCAAGCTTCTCAGAGGTAACATTCCAGCCGTACAGCTAGTCAATGAAGCACACATCAGAACTTTATTAAGTTCTGATTGACACACTGGAGCTGGAAAAGAAAGTTCCAGCTGACTCAGATCTGTTTGCACCAATAATCTGTTTGTTTGTTTGTTAACTAATTACTACATGCATAGATAAAGAACAAAGAGTTCCCTGAAGAATTGTGACGGAAGGTAAAAATATAACCACTGAGGCACATTTAAAGACCTACGGGGCTGGAGTGATAGCACAGCGGGTAGGGTGTTTGCCTTGCACGCGGCCGACCCGGGTTCGATTCCCAGCATCTCATATGGTCCCCTGAGCACTGCCAGGAATAATTCCTGAGTGCAGAGCCAGGAGTTAACCCTTGTGCATCGCCGGGTGTGACCCAAAAAGAATAAATAAATAAATAAATAGAGACCTACAGTTTGGTCTGTAGTCCCGGCAAGTGGGACTGTCAAAAGCTACAATCAGAAAAAAAATTACAGTGAGAATATTCAGTGAGGTTTCCCTTGACACCTTGGAGACAGCTGGTACTGGGTGGTGGCGCTGGACCTGCCTCAGGAGGTCCAGTGGACGTTGGTCCCATTTTCCAGCAGCACAGGCCTGGCTGGCATGGCGCCACGCATACCCCCTTCATCTCACAGTGAGGTCGGCATTGGGGAAATTCAATAATCTGAGTCTTTTGTGGAGTCATGAAAATGTCCAGCACCTTTTGCCTAACAGGTTTACTTGATAGAAGGCTTTAGATTAAAAAATATTGAGCACCATATTAGAGATTTAGCAGCTCGCTCTCCAGTTGACTGGTAAGAAGAATTAAATCATAGTGCATGTGTACAGACAAGGCAGTTGTTAAAAACAACATCACAAACAGCATCTATGGCTTTCATTTTTTGTTTTGGGAAATTATATGTCCCATATCTGAAGGTATTTTATTATGAGAAAAATGTAAGCTAGGCAACAATCAGGATCTAGTAAAAGGGATGAATGATGCTTTTTTACCATTCCTGCAATTTAAAAATGGCTTGTGGGCCTTTAGCCAGCATGAGCCAGAGTCTGAGCGATCAGGGTTCCAGTGAAGGCTGTTTTAGAGAACTTCTCTGTAAGCTTGTTTCTGATTGGCGGGTGAGTGCATGGCGTATAGCTGGATGCGTTGTCACAGGTGAGAACGCCCAGGCCGGGCCAGGACCTGAGTGTCAGGAACCCCTCATAGCCCAGAACATCCACAGAACTCCCCCAGGATTCAGTATTATTTTATTTTATGTGGGTGTTTGGCCCATACCCAGCAGTGGTCCACGGCCACTCCTAGAACCCAGGGGACCATGGCAGGGCAGGAACCAGGCCAAAGCCTCCCTGGATCAAAGTATACCCTCCAGTCCTTTGGATTGTCGCCTGGCACCTACCCAGGTACAGATTGTTTTGTTGCTGGTTTTTGGAGAGGCCATACCCGGCAATGCTTGGGGGTTACTCCTGGCTCTGCGCTCGGGAATCACTGCTGGCGAGCTTGGGGAACCATGTAGGTTGCTGGGGCTTGAACCTGGGCCGGACGCTGCAACGCAAGTGTGCTACCCACTGTAGTATATCTCTGGCTCTAAGGTGTGGATGACACCAAATACACCAAAATTTAGCAAATGCCACATTATTTAACTGGTTAGGATGATGAGTTTTTTTGGTTTTCTTTTTTTTATTTTACTTCCTCTTTTGCGTGGTACAAGTTAAACTTTGTGGTACTTGGTATGATTTGATGAATGACTATTAAGCCAGACGCTGACCCTTGCGTTTAGTCGCTAAGAAGGCCTTCTGTAGGGAACTGACCTTTGCTGCAGGCCCTTTGGGCCATCCTCCTCGCTGCTTCTGAAGCAGTGAGCAGCTCAGGCACAACTGGGAACTGGCTCTCTCCCCAGCTGTCCCCGGCCCAGGTGGCATCTTGGTGAGTGCCCCTCCCTGGAAGTGTCTCCCTCCCTTCCATCTCACTGGCCCATATTCCCTGGGTCCCCTGTTCCAAGGACTGGCCTGTGCTTTCCCTGGAGTGGGGAAAGTTGCTGACAAGCTTTGGAGCTGGGCGTCCACAGCCCCATTCCTGCCGCAGGGAATCATGAGACTGAGCGTGTTTTTGAGATGCGGCTGAGGCAATCTCTCAGTGTCTCCACTCTGGAGAGACCCAAAGAAAGGTTAGCTTGACCCAGCGAGGTGGACTCAGTCAGCTCAGCTGAAAACCCTGCCAAAGGGTTGCGCTCAGCCACTCACGCTAACAAAGTTGTTTGTGCTTCAGAGTCAGACTGCAAGGCTGGAGAGGTGGCACAGCAGGGAGGGCACTCGCGGTGCACGTGGCTGACCTGGGTTCAATCCCCAGCACACCATACAATCCCTTGAGTCCCACCAGCAGTGACCCATGAGTGCAGAGCCAGGAGTAAGCCCTGAGCAATGCCAGGCATGGCCCAAAAAAGCAAATGATGATAATAATTTTTTTCTTAATTCAGGAGCTAGACTCCTGAGACACAGCAGTGACAAAACTCTAGCGAGACCAGTCGCAGAGGTCAGGTTATAGCTCTGAGCAGCCTCAGCCAGCCCGGGAGAAGCAGGTGGCGAGGCTGCAGATGTCAAGGGCCAGCCCACCCCCCTGCCCGACGGTGCCCTGAGCAGGTGCATGTAAGAAGGCGCGTCCTTTCTCTTCTCTCTACTCTCCAGCACTGAGCGGAGCCCCTGTAACAGTTCCCTGCCACGCGACAGCCGGCGGCCGGCCAGCCTCATCGGCCAGGAGGTGATCCTGGTCTTCTTCCTCCTGCTACTGCTCGTCTGGTTCCTGAACCGGGAATTCGAGGTCAGCTACCGCCTCCACTACCACGGGGACGTGGAGGCCGACCTCCACCGCACCAAGATCCAGAGCATGCGCGACCAGGCCGACTGGCTGCTGCGGAACATCATCCCCTACCACGTGGCCGAGCAGCTCAAGGTCTCCCAGACCTACTCCAAGAACCACGACAACGGCGCCGTCATCTTCGCCAGCATCGTCAACTTCAGCGAGTTCTACGAGGAGAACTACGAGGGGGGCAAGGAGTGCTACCGCGTGCTCAACGAGCTCATCGGCGACTTCGACGAGCTCCTGGGCCGGCCCGACTACAGCAGCATTGAGAAGATCAAGACCATCGGGGCCACGTACATGGCGGCGTCGGGACTGAACGCCACGCAGGCGGCGGATGGCAGCCACCCACAGGAGCAGCTGCGCAGCCTCTTCGAGTTTGCCAGGGAGCTGATGCGGGTGGTGGGCGACTTCAACAGCAACATGCTCTGGTTCAACTTCAAGCTCAGGGTGGGCTTCAACCATGGGCCCCTCACGGCGGGCGTCATCGGCACCACGAAGCTGCTGTACGACATCTGGGGGGACACGGTGAACATAGCCAGCAGGATGGACACGACTGGCGTGGAGTGCCGCATCCAGGTGAGTGAGGAGAGCTATCGGGTCCTGAGCAAGATGGGCTACGACTTTGACTACAGAGGCACGGTGAACGTCAAGGGGAAGGGCCAAATGAAGACCTACCTCTTCCCCAAGTGCACGGACAACGGGGGCGTGCCGCAGCACCAGCTGTCCATCTCCCCAGACATCCGGGTCCAGGTGGACGGCAGCATCGGACGGTCTCCCACAGACGAGATTGCCAACCTGGTGCCTTCCGTCCAGAGCTTGGAAAAGACACCGCTGGGTCCCGACGACAGCGCGCAGGCCAAGGACACTCAGCCCGTGTCTAAGAGACCCTGGAAGGAGCCGGCCAGGGCCGAGGAGCGCGCCCGGCTCAGCAGGGCCCTGGAGAGCAGCGACTGTGACGACGTGGGGCTGGAGGAGGCCAACGAGCTCACCCGACTCAACCTCTCCCCCCGCGTGTGAGGTGCTGGCCGCAGGGCGCGTGCTCTCGGCCACAGATGCTCCGTAGCCCTGACTACCGTCCGGATGGCATCTATTCAGGGTTCATTTCAACCGTGGCTCCCTCCCCTGCTCCCCAGGTGTGGTGTCTGGCCGTGAGGAGAACAAGTGCCTTTCAGGGGAGCCTGGGGCCTGGGGCCTGGGGCATCGTCTAGCTTCAACAACAAAAGCTGTGGTTAAGGAGTCACTCTCACTGCTCTTCCTCACGAGACACTTCGGTTTCCCTCCGCTGATCAAGGGGTTGGGGCTTTTTCCCCCTTTGTACACAATCTTGTTTTCCAATTATCTGACCTTCCGTGTAAACGCGCACACACGCACACACTTGCTCCATGAAGCAGATTAAGTGCCAGTATCACTGAGCAGGGCGAGGCGAGGGGATGCGGCCAAGAGCAGCGGGCCTTGGGCCCTGGGCCATCCTTTCGTCCATCCAGCTGCGAGCCCACTCTCACCGCGCTTACAGTGGCAAAACCTCATGAACCAGGCCTCAGGGGGCAAAAAGAAAAGCCATTTCTTTCCTCCCCGGCAACCAGGGGTCTCTGAGCAGGGTGCTGATGGGGCCATCTTGAGAGCTGACTGTACCAGGGGGAAAAGCCAAATAAATGCCACAGGGGTGCACTTATTTATTTATTTATTTATCAGGAACCACGTGGGTTTCAGGGAGGGGGCGCAGGTCATTCTGGTGATAGGGGTCCACTGAGGGTGCCACCATGTACCAGGGTGCTCCGGCCGCTTGGAGCCATGTCCCAGAGCAGGGCTATGTACCAGGGCCCTTGGCTCACCCTGAAACCAGCGCTGTGGGGGTCTGGGCTGGGGGCCGCTCCCACTCGCTCCTCCACCCGCTCTGTTCCCAGCCCAATCAGGACAGGCCCCACTGAGCTGTCAGCCTCTCGATGGAGTTCTTCCTCTGTTTTGTGGGGACAATCGAGTGACCCACGGCGAGGTGCCGCCCAGGGGAAGTGCAAATTCCCATGGGGAAGTCACTTCCGTGGCTTCTTGGCTGCTCCAACTTGGAATCACATTTTTGCTGCAAGCCTGAAGATTAGGTAAAACTGAGCTGGAACTGTCCTCGTCTCTTTCATTTTATGATGGCGGGATATTGGGGACCCAGCTCCTCTCTCTCTCTCTCTCTCAGACCTTAGCCCACCTCCGTGCTCTGTGTGTATTCTCGTCCGGGCAGCCGTAGGCACCGCTGTTCCCCACGCTGGCTCCAGCGTCCCCTGGCGACTCTAGACACAGTGGGCCCGGCGGGCGCGCATTCCCAATGCTGCTCTGCCTTCAGGGTTTTGACTGTGGGTCTTGTTGGTCTTCCAATGCCGGTGAGCAGACGGTGACAATACCTCTTGCTTCCAAAGAATGTACACTCACACGATACTGCAAACCTTTCATTTTTGTTTTTCTCTCCAAGACACTACCTGATGCTCTCCTCGCACGTGGGACCTGCGAGCTGCACGGGGTCTCTGTCAGTGTTAGGGTGGGTGGGCGTCTGGGGGCCCACCCCCTCGGCCCCTGGTGCCAGTCTCCGGGGCTTCCGCCACAGCTGGCCGGCCTGTGTCTTTGCTGTTTCGCTAAAAATGTGCTCTGCACAGACTTCCTTCCCGCCAGCTCTCCCCCATCTCCTCCGGGGCATCCGCTCTTCGGAGACCCCAGGCAAGGAATTCCGCCCCTCTTGGGGTCTGGCCCGACCGGTGCAGACTCAAGCCTCTGGTGGGGGCCGCTCCCCCAGCACCTGAAAAGTTCTTTCAAAACACCCGGGACAGATGTTCCCGACAGGCCGAGCTAGCGCCTGCCCTGACGCATACCTCAGCGCTCCGCCATGGCCAGTTCCGCAGCAGCTGCCCGCGGAGGCCACAGCGCTCTTCAGCCAGTGGATGTGTTCTTCAGAGGGGCAGTGCCTCTTTTGAGCATCGGGCAGGAAGCAATACTGCAGCATTGAATGTGTGTAAATAGTCGCTCCCAGTTGCAATGGTTACTTTCTTCTTGGCCCTGGGTCAGACCCAGTGATCTCTCTGTATCCGACAAGCACAGCACTGCAGCCCATGCAGACACGTCGCACCGCAGCACCAAGCCCCCACATAGCTTGAAGAATCTCAGCAGTTAGGCTTCTCTGCACGGCCCCCCACAGGCCCCCTTCAACACGGCCATGAGCTGCGCCGCACCGTGGGCTGTGACCGCGTGTCGCTCCCAAAGAGCCATCTGTGGCCGCGTTTCTCAATTCCCGAGGAAAGCGGCGTCTGCTGGACTTCAGGAGACGATCATGAGACAACATGAATCCGATCGGGGGTCAGATCAGAGCCAACAGTTTGCGTTTCCTCCCTTTGCTCTGCTCTTTTTAAATTGTTAATTCTAATTTCAAAATGCATCCACTGAAGAATAGACATTAAAATATTCTAAACTCTGACTCACTGGCACCTGGTATTTCCTCCCTGAAAAAAAAGGAAAAAACAAACATCTTCCCAGTGCATTGAGTTGCCCTCTACACTCCTTGTTTCTCTGGCTTGTGGCTGGAACCAGATTTGCCTTTCCCTCACCTTAGGACTTTTTTTATGTAGGAGTACTGCTATTTATTCAGCCACTGATTAGCTGATTGAATTGGGCATGAACTCCACCTTTTTTTTTCATTTTTTATAATTTTATTTATTGAATCACCGTGAGAGCAGTTACAAAGATTTCAGGTTTAAGTCTCAGTCATACAACGAAACACCCATCCCTTCACCAGTGCCCATTCTCCACCACCAAAAACCCCAGTATACCCCCATCCCACACCCTCCCCCTACCTGTGGGGCAGATGATTTCCACATTACTCTCTCTCTACTTTGGTCACATTCAATATTTTGACACCAGACCCACCATTATTATTTGGGATTTTACCCCAACACTCAGATCTGCTGAAAAGGCAACAGTAGACAGTTTGTTTTCTATTGCTAGTTAAAAATAACATGGTGTCTCGTGGCTGCAGTAGTGGCCGCACGATTTTGAAATTCTGAAATTTTAACACTTAAACCTAGAGGGATTTCCGCCAAAACCTGCTGGGTTCCAAGTTTGTTCCTGAGTCTCTGGGATCATGGCCATTAAGCAGCTTGATCAAGAGCCAGAAAGGCCGTTCGTGGGCAGCGACTCAGGGTCAGGGTCTCATTGGGACGGGGAGGAAAGGGCCGACTCCAACCCCATCCCATGAGGCCCCACGTGTCTCATCACTAAGGGCCCAAACCTGACTGTCCAGTGGCCTCTTTTTTTTTTTAAGTAAAACATTTTATGTGGAGACTGTGAAGGAAAGGAGGGAGAACAAGTGGGTGAGAGTGGAGAGTATCATGCTCAAGAGAGAATGTGGGCTTCTCCAAGGATGGAGAAAGCCCCTCACACACCCCAGCATTATACAGGAAAGCATGAAAGCCCACATCAAACATGAAAGTCCACATCTCAAGAGGGATATGTGGGTACCACATGTGCCCAGGTGCCACATGTGCTCGGCCACACAGGTGCAAGCAGCACTTGGGTTTGGGCAGCATATGTGCTACGTTAGGACTTTTTAAAAACTCTGTGTGTGTGTGTGTGTGTGTGTGTGTTTTGAGTTGGTTGGTTGGTTTTCACCATACCTGACAGTGCTAAGAGATTTCTTCCTGCTCATTAACCGGAAGTCACAGTGGTGTGTGAAGACCAGACAAGACCAGAGAATGCAGCCTGGGTCTTCTCCGAGGGCCCTGTGCATTGCCAGAGATTGAACCAGTCTCACAGCCAAAGCACCTGCCATCAAGGATGAGCTCTCCTTGACTCCAGCTCTCCTGGATAAACAGAATGGCTTGGGGAGACCATCTGGGGTGCCAGGTGGAACCCAGGTCAGCTGCATGCAAGCAAGCGCCCTATCTGCTGTACTGTCGCTCCAGCCTCTCCCCTGCAGCTCAGAGAGAATCCTGCTGGGGAGAGTCCAAGGGCTACGGCACTTGCCTTGCGTCCCGCTGACCCCAGTTTGAATCCCCAGCACCATGTATGGTCTCCCAAGAGCACTGCCGAGTCTGGGTACAGAACCAGGAATAGCCCATAAGCACCACCTGTGTGGGCCCAAAACCGAGAAACCAAACAAGCAAAATTTTGTCCCTCCCCCACCCCCAGCTTTGCAGTGAACATGTGACCTTGGTATGTGTCATTGCTTCTCCCTCCCAAGCCTCACACACAGCGAGTCCTCTGCCCCTGCTGGCTTAGCCCAAGTTCTGGAAGCTGCTGTGGATGGAGAGAGGCTGAAGGGACCGAGAGAAAGTGTCCCTCGCACAGATGTGTTTCAACCAGCCCATTCTATTTCCATCCAATTCCTCTGCAAAGATTGGTTTGTTCGTGTTCTTATAACGCGACTCCAAAGGTCGTTGCTGTGAGAGATTTAAGCCAAGGAGCATCTCCGGTCCCTGCAGGTCCTGCCAGTCTGTAGGAGACAGCAGTGAAGCTTTCCGTGCAGCCGTCAACGGCGATTTCCACCCTTCGGGGGACTCTCAAAGACTTGGATAATTTGGTGAAAGCGGAGCTCCTTTCTACAGGGAAAAAAAATGTGCAGGTAAAAATAGATCTTTTTAATGCTACACAGTGTCAGGAGTCTCCGCGCCCCTGAGGGCTCTGATGGAAGGAGAGACCCTTCCCGTTTGCTCTCTGCAGGTGAAGCTTCAGGCGGGATCTGACAACGCTGCTTCCCACTGTGCATTTCCAGTCAAAACGGGCACGCGCCTCCTGTCCGGCTGCCTGAGGCCGCTGGAGGTGCCGCTCAAGGCGCTAGGCGCGCTGTTTCCTGGGGCCCAGTCAGGAGAATTGCCTGAGCACCACCGGTGCCCAGTGATGCCAGCGCCCCCTGGCGCCAGGTGTGAGCCTGCAGGCGGAGCTGGCCAGAAAACTTGCTTGACCTTGGCGACTGGCCAGCTGTTGAGGGGCTTCTCAGGCCACCCCTGTCCTCGCCACACAAGAGGCGATGCCTTTGCATGGTCTCAGCTGTTACCCCGTCTCGTGAGAAACACTCAGAGGAAACCACTGCACAGCACAAATGCTGCGCTAGGGCCATGGATGATGGACCCGCACGTGCTGTCCACGTGCCTCTCCAGCATCTTCTGTGGACAGCCTTCGACCCCAGCGCCTGCCCTTAGAGCTCCCAGCGCTGCCTCAGTCTCCACCCAGCCCACCTGCCCTCCTCCCTGAATCCCCTCTCCCAGCCCCGCCCCGCCCCCCCCAGCTCCTTCTTCCTCTTCCTAAGGAATTTTGCCCCCTGGGTGGGGAGGACCCGGCTGGTGTCAGAGAGAATGGGTTGCTTCTCCTGCTCTGGTTCTGGGAAGAGGGAGAACCTGGGACCCTATTTGTGGCCTGAACATCCTCGCGGCTGAGGCCAGCTCCATTGTCCACCTTCCCCACAGGCCATCACCCCAGCCTCCTGCCCCAGAGTCTTCAGCCCCACCCCCATCTCGGAGCCCCACAATCCTTCCTCCCCAAGGACACCCCCTTATTCCTTAGAGGGGCTCAGTGCCCCGTCTCCCTGTCTTCAAAGAAGCAGCCTCAGTTCCCCTCCCATGTGCACAGGGTGTCTCCCTTACAGGGGATTCTCCAGCGGGCTCCCCACCGGAACCTCGGGTGGCCTGGGGGTGATCGCAGGAGGCGCTGGGCAGAGGGCTCCTTTCTCCAGAGTCCAGAGCCCAATTCCTGGTCACCCACTTCCTGTGCAAAAAAAGACAGTGTCCTGGGGCAGGGCCTTGCGCGGCGGCATTGGTCAACAGCTGAGGCACGCGGCCTTCTCTCCCTGTGCCTGTGGGACCTGTATCTATGTGCTCTCGGACTGCAGTCACCCGTGTCCATGCACCCAAAGCCGCAGGGGATGGTGGCCACAAGGTGGTGCCTTCAGCAAAGTCAGCGGCCACGGGGGTTCTTGATGGCCTACCCTTCCTGCTGATGCAAAAGAAGGAGGCAGAATTCAGGAGGGTTCCTACTGATCTTGCGATAAATCATAACATACAACGTGAGGTGGTGTTGGGAATACCCTGACTGTGCAAAGGAAAACGCTCCATGTTGCTCGCCCAGCTAACCAGAAACAACTTGGGTAAAACCCTGTTTCCCGAGAGCAGAGGCGCCAAGAGAGTTCAGCTGGTGGGCATTTGCTCTCATGCATTTGACCCGTGCTTGGGCCCAGCACTGCATCTGGCCCTGCAGGGCCCCTCAGCCGCCCACCAGGAGCCAGCCCAGAGTACAGGGTGTGGCTGGGAGGGAGAAGCCAGTGGTGCGGCTCTTCAGAAGCAAGTCTTATTGGGGGACCCCGGTCAGACTTTGGTCATTCTGGCTGGCCAAGATGTCTCTTCCTCCTTAAGAGGATGGTGTCACCAGTGCATTTAGAATGTTGGTCCCCTGCAAGAGCCAGTCAGTGCTTACAGAAGAGAAAGGGCCAATTGGCCGCTGTGCCTGAAGGGCATTCCAAATTGTGTGTTTTTAAAACTGAAGTTTGTCACTTACATAAACTTTTAGGAAATGAACTCAAAACTTACGAAGATAGGGCTGGAAAAATGGAACAGCTGGGTGGGCTCCTGCCTTGCACCTGGTCCACCTGTCACACAATAAGGTCCCCCAAAAGTGATCCCTGAGAGAAGATCCAGGATCAAATCCCGAGCACTGCCAGGTGTGGTTCCAAACCAAAAAGAAGCAGAATAAGAACCTATGAAGATAAAGCGCAAGTATTTGAAGAAAAGTGGCAATGAAGCAAGTATCCAGATGGTTCAGGACAAATGCATCCTTTTCCTTAAACTACTTCATAAGAAAATTAATGTCCTGCCCCGTCCCTGGGGCCCCATCAGTGTCTTCCTTGCCCTTGCCTCTGCCCTGCGGTACACCCACGTTCGTTCCCTTCAGCACCCCCTTTCCCGATTTCTTGTCCTCCTCTGCGCGTGTTATTGGCAGAATTACAGTGGCCCCAACCTGTAGCTGGTTCCAGAACTCAAATCTATGTGGTTTCCTCCCCCTGTGCCCCTGGGAGTCTACTGGAGGGTATGGGACAGCCTGCTCAGCTTTGCACCCAAGAGGCCTCTCTCCCCTGGGACTGAGGATAGGAAGCTGCCTCCGAGCACTGCGCCCTGAGCCCTCCTGCTGCTCCTCTGCCTCCTCTGCCCTCGGGACCCTCATTTTTTCCTTTTGATGTTTTTCCTGGTCCCCACCTCACACACCCCTCCCCCAGCCCACCTCTGGGAACCTGGTTTGACTCCAGCAAGTGCCCTGGGGCGAGTTAGGGGTGGGGGTTTCTGAGTCTGAAACCCCCAGCTGGAAAGGTTCATCCTTTCTCCAAGACCAGCTGGGGCCCCCAGGGAATCCAGAGGGAGACCTGAGCCGGGGTCCTGCTGCAGGACTGTGCTTGGACGGAGAGCACTGGGTCAGTCC